TTTTTTTTTTACTTTATACAAATGCCATTAGCTGAAACTTTATTAGTTATTTGATAGTAGGTAATGATACATATTGTGAGAATACAACTTGTTACACATACAACTTTAGATTGTCTATTTAAGTAATCCACCCGAAGGTTCTATACTAGTTGCGATACCTGAAATCTATTTGAAGATTCCCTATTTAAACTCTCTTGCCTTATGACTTACCTGTTTCTATCTATTTATACCAAGCTAGCCTAACCCCATGCTACTTCTCCAAGAAGATACTCGAGCTGACATATGTCCACAAACTTTATGATTCGAAGTCTAGACCTATCTCAGATACCCCTTTACCAACTTCCAAATTGATGAGTGCTGTAGTACTCAACTATGCTACGCTATATCCTAATCTAGCTTGCATATATCCTTGTTCAATATTTGTATAAACCTGGTTCCTACTGTGGTCTTCTACCAAGTTAGTCATCTGTGCCTCCAGATATCACATGAAGTAGATCCTCCCAAATCTGTTACTTAGTGTTGTCTGCTTTGCCACCAGATATCACACGAGACAGATTTTCCCAAATCTAGTTAGCTGCCAAACCATGTTGGTGTTGCCATATGACCCTATGTAACAGACTTACTCATACCTGTTTCATCAATCTTTCTGTACTCAGGACTTACTCATACCTATTTCACTGATCTTTTCGTATGCAGATTTCTTTTCTCAGATCAGACGTTAACTAGTATGACCATCAAAATCCATACTACTTTACCTAACTCAGGATTTCTACTATACAGGTCCCCTGCTCATAGATCCTATTAAAATTTATTCATGTAATATTACACCTTGCCAAATACCTCGTCATATTTCCAATACCCGATTAGCATTGGTGCAATGTGATTTACAGGTTATAACCTCAGAAACGAGCAGAGTTTACTGTAAGTTAGAAACAGATGTCTAGGTAATTATTCAATTCTTTATATAGTGGGATTTGAACCCTAGAACTCTTGTATAGCAGTTCGACAACCTAACTACTACACTAAGATCACCAGACCAATAAATATTTAAATAAATATTGTACTATTAAATATATGTATAGATAAAATCTAAAACATAAAAATTATAAATAGTGCAATCCAACTATAACTAACGTGCTAATTTTAAATAATTTACTAGTTCAATTCTATATACGCACGAAGCATATTCATCTTTTTATATAATTGATCAGATATTAAAACTAACTAAGAAAACTTTTCTTTCAACTTGTTAGCATAGCAGTATAGGGACGCTATCACACACTACTGCTACTCACTTACAGATTCCATCTTTAATACCTGATATTTTCTCTATATGCAAAAGAATTTGTTCAACACTTGCAACTAAATTAGGATTAAGATTAATCGGATCAGGAATATAGATTTCAGGAATATTAACTTCTTGATCAGCAATTCATTGGGTAAGACTGATTCTCAGAGTATAGATAACACCTTGCTTGTCATCAATTCTATAAGGTTTAAAAATAAATTGATTAAATAATTGTTCATTTATATTACTTTCAATTTCATTTGCCTTCTCTTTTTAAATTTCAGCTAATGTTAGCAATTGTGTCTCGCAATCTAGACAATTTTTTCTTTTATTCACAATATTTCGAAGTTTGCAACTAAAACAAAATTTTGATTTAGTAATATCAACTGAAATAGATGCTGCAAGAAAATTAATAACATTAGTAGAGGACTTTTCTTTAGACAATAACATAATAATCTTATCTAAATAAGTATGTAATTCTTCGTCGATGATTTTTTGCATTTGGAAATTAATGTTAAAAAGTTCTTTATATTGAGACCTGTTAAGAGAACTATATGCCTAAGGTAAATTAGTATGTTGAATTTTGTTTTGTAATGATATATTAAAAGCAATAAAACTGGTGATGATATGATAAATAACTGTGTTAAATTTCTGATCAAGATAATTTTTTTGTCCTTTTTGCTCATTATCAAATGCGAGAAATAAAAGACCTTTGGGTAATAGTTCTTCATACTTTAAAAGTTCATCAAACTATTTTTGAAACCTATAATAGCTTCCTGAGCTTATGATATAGTTATCGATATTAATAACCATCTTTGATTGTGCTATTGAATATTTAATAGCCAAAATAGCAAGTTGAATTTCTGATACATATTTCTCATATCAAGCCCCATATATTGAATCAACTGTAACAATAGTTTTAAAAAGCTTTTCTTGACTTGGGGTTCCGATGGCTTGATTATTCTGAACTAAAGTTTCAACAAACTTAACCACTACTTGATTATGTCTATTAAGCTATTCACATGGGTTATATATCATAAGACACTCTAAAGTAAACTTATTGCTGTTCTGAATTAATGAATCTAGAGAATATATATTAAAATTTTTAAATATTATAGATACAATATACAAAAATTAAAAATTCAGAGCAATAACTCACTAATATCATCAAAAAACATCCCATATTCTGCTCTTGCTATTTCAATAACTAAATCGATTTGTTTCTGTTGATTAAAAATCTTGAATTCCACTGCTCAATAAGAACTTCATTATTTTTACGCTGCTTTTCATATAAACCTTGGATCACATTTATGTTGTCATTAGCATTTTGTAATAGCTTTTTCAATTCTTCTACCTCATTTTTTTGATTTTTCAAATACTGCTGCATTCGCTCAATTCTAGCATTGAGCTCTACAATTAATTAGGATTTCTGCTTATTTTCTAGCTGAGCAAGCTCCAAAAGTTCCTTAGTCCTGTTAAATTCAAATATTAGATTAGCATATCAGTAACTGGCAGTTGAATAGTTTTGATCAGTATCAATCTAGATCCTTTTATTTTCTTGACTTTTTTCTTCACTTTCTTGACCTTGATATGAATCACTAAAAAGCTTATAAAAATGATTATTAATAACTATTTGCATATAATATCTTGAACAAAGAGAATATGAAGCTAAAGAAAGATTTGTAAGTTCCAGCATATAGAGATGAAAAAAAGCAAGTCGCTTAGCTGCCTTTAGACTATCTACAGGTCGTTGGCTTTGTGAGTCTGAATTACAAGATTTCAAACTAATATTACCATATATTCTGACTAAATTTGCAAAAATATATTTGAGTTCTTTTGCTGGTTGTCTCCGGGAAGTCGCTACTATAAAAAAATATTTAAAATATAAGCTCATATTAGTAAATTCAAGGTTCTACACTTTAGCTTAAATAAAACAAACTCTCAAATTTCGACTCTTATTTACTTTTTTAATTAAAGCTGATTAGAATTGATTACTATTAATTACTTAAACTAGATGTCTCAATCTATATATTCGAAGCAGTTAATTCTGTAATTATTGTAAAAAAAAATTTTTTTTTAATGTATGACTTTGTGGATGGCAAAGGGTATGTGAAGCTAATCAAATTCAAGAATTCACCCATAGATCATTCTAGAATGCGATTCCTAATTCAGTATATTCCTTGACTATATTTAGTAATATTTAAAAAAAAATATATAAATTCTGTCTTTTTTCTTTTTTGTAAAGTTAGTTTTGTTCTTTACAATCTTTTTAAAATTGGAATTTTTTTGGTATAAATACTAATAGATAGTCTTGTATTATTGATATTATATCATAAATAAAGAATACTCTTTGCTTTAATATAATCTTTCTAAT